GGGTGAAGGGCTCTGGCGATTCCCAAGCTAAAGCCACCGTGGAATTTTTGGAAGAGTCGCCACATTGTCTCTTGCACCATGTCCGACAGCAGAGACCACTTCGACATCTATTCATAGACGGTTACAAAGACATTTTTGACACGTCTCTCAACACAGAAAGAGTCCTTGAACCATCGAAGAGCTTCCATACACTCCTTCATCAAGTCCACTTTCTTCTAGATGCACATCCAAGTTCTATTTCTTAAAAGGCGGAAAAGCTGATGAACTCGAAGATCCCACTGGCCCCACGACGTTCGGGTCCCGGTTTCCTTCCGGGTCACGACGCCAGGCTCATCCTGGAGCCGTTGCAGGAGGGCCGGGCGGCGATGGCCAAGTGCGGCTGGCGCTTCACAGGCGAAACTGCGGTCTCGTCCGGGTTCTCCTCGTGGTCTCGTCCGGGTCCGCAGTGGTGGCGGAAGTGGTGGCTGTGATGGTGGCGCCATTTGTGGTGGTTGCTTCGGAGTTTTCTTTCCGGATTCGAGGTGATGCTTTTGTCGAGTTTTCTTCTCGGAGAGACAAATGGCTGTCTCTTGGAGAAGTCACATAGGATGAGGTTCTGTTTGATTGGGAACATTGTGCTTGCACCTCCTAGACCTGGATTGAGCCCTTTGCTTGCCGTCACCGTGAGTTAAAGACGATAAGACGGCTATGAAGATGACACATATATAAATGTCAATGTGTGAACAGGTGCCGCAGGCAGTAAAAAAGTCGGGGGATTTGAAAGATGAAGCAACTTGAACACAGAAACACATGCACACACACACGCTCTCGAGATATGATGTAGATACAGTTGAAAGGAGAAAGCTTTAGTGAGGATGGATGTGTTCTCCAACTGCGACTTAAATGTGTCCAGGAGCGGCACAGGGCAGGTACACGAACACCATGCTGTAGCGACTGACCGGTGAGCGGCCGGGTCGCCGTGACCCGTCCCCGTTCCTTTGACGGAGAAGTCACACACACACACATCGGTGAGGTCTGGGGAATCATCCTAAGCCCACACCAGCTGAGAATCGGGGTCGATTTCGAAGGCAAACATCTGCTGCGGCAGGGGGAAGGGGGAAGAAGGACATGGGGTGGAGCTGCATCTTCTTGGAGAGCAAGAAAAACTCACCGACCATCCCCACTCAAGAAAACAAAGCTCACCTAAGAAAGCCTGAAGTACCATGCAGTTTTCATGTTGGTCCCAGAATGGAAACGCAACAAGGAAGGGATTGGAATGGAACAGATCATCGGTTCATGTTCATGTCGCCCCTATTTCTGACCTTTTGGTCCTATTTCAGTCGAGGGGCCCCTCGTCCCCACCCACTCCACTCTCTCATGGACTTCCGATGAGGCGACGAGGCCGGCGAGGGCTTCTCCAAGTTCCTCCGTGGCGTCACGCGGCTCAGCGGCGCCGCCGGGCGAGCAGAGCTCCCAGGCGCGATCGGTACGGAAAACAACGGGTGGGAGGTGGGGGGCACCGGGAACACAGGGGTGGTGCTGAACGTGAGTTCTTGGGATTCGATGCTTACCGCTTGATGTTTTCGGAGTGACACAGTGTTCTTTTTAGTCCCCAAACTTTGGCAAAGCGGGCCCAGATTGATGCATGTTGAGTTGGATGTGTCTTTGCCGTGCTCCAAAACGAGCCCTTTGTTTGCGATGTGGAGTAGCCACCTGAGTCTTGTGAGCAACGGTGAAACGGCACCACTGTAGGTGCATCGCCCCTCTTGGAATGGCGTGGAGACCTAGACGTGTTCAGCGATCGATACGGACCCCCAACAAGCAGAAGGGCCCTGACAGTGATTTCCATGTTCAAAAGAAAGAGAATCCACCATCCAATTGGTTTCTTTTGAGCCGGGGCCACCTCATGTTCCGTGGTCTTGGAGCCGTCCATTTTTTTTTTCGTTTCGATCAGCCCAGGTTGGACAGTGATTGGCCCAAGATCCTCGAATTCTTCGCCAGCATGTTGGGATGCCAAGTGGCCCAGGGTCGGGTCGCAGGCCATGAAAAGACCCTTTCTCCCCGGAAGTGCGGAACAATGCGGATCGAACGAGCCGAGAAAGAACCAGAAGTCTCTGCTGAACATGCCGACGTTTCTATTGGAAAGGTCTCTGGTGCCTTGCGACCGTCTGGTGCGCGGTCCGACCCGTCCAAGACACCCCCCAGTGAAGACGGGGGTCACCTGCCCAAGCTCAGCGGGATGGGGGGGATGGGGTTTCCAACTTCGAGCATCGCGTGCCGTCTCCGGACCAACGCCCCGAGGCATGAGACGAAGCGGCTCACGAGGCATGCCGAGACTCAGGGCGGCTTGGGTGGGCGGCTCGGGTTTGGCGCATGGCGGGTGTGCACGAGGGCAGACGGGTCGATCACGGCCACCAGCGACGGGATGTTTTGGAGGCTCCTATTTGAGGTGTGAGAGCCGCCTAGTTGCACAAGTACTTGGAGCTACATGGCAAGGCCAAACCGGAGTCCTTTTTCATGGTTACTGTATAGAACTCAGGGGTGACAAGAATACCCCAGTAAGACATACTGCACTTCCAGGCTTCCATGAATGTAGTTGGCTGATATTCTTCTCGCGGTGACGTGTGCGTGAAGCTGCGGGAACAGCTTTTTTTGGTTGTGCCCATATGAGCAACTGCCAAAACCTCCGATGAAGGCAGCATCACTACAGCGAAGACTAAGTAAGTTAACATGAGGGAAACCTTCAGGAACGATAAGGTTCACAGGAAAACACGATAAGGTTTTGGTACATGTTGTTAGGTGTGTCCAAACCCTCAGGAACGATCAGATTCACAGAAAAATCGATCACGTTGGGAAGAGTGCGCACTACAACACACAAGAGGTTTAGCACGTCGCTCATATACACAGCAGGTGTTCTCTCAGATTGACTGTCATATTGAATACGTTTGACTTGGCGAGACATGCAGGTGAAAAGCAGACTCCCTGAGGCAGACCACCACTCACCACTCCAAACAAAACAAAGGCACTTTCTGAAGTCCTTCCTCATGCGCCACCGTCGTCGACCATGTTGACATGTGCGGTCAACCACCTGCAACATAGTGATGTTCTGGATCTAGTTTCGGAGCTCAATAAGCTACCTGATGCTACCTGTAATGGGACTGCTTCTTGATTGATGAATTCCAAACTGCAGGGCTCTCTTTGAATGGAAGGAATCCTCAATCTGCAGCGGACCGAGGGAGTTACCTCCAACCGCTCTGGTGGGGTGAGTGGATTTTGTCTGCTTCACTTTGGCAGGAGTCAGGTGGAGACGTGCGTTGGTCCTGGCCTGTTTGGGATGGTCCTGAGCAACAAAAAAGGGTGTTTTCGTGGCGCGAATACTTTGCAACAGAAGTCTTTGAGTCCAAAAGAGCAGAAGATTTTGTCGCGACCGGAGCTCTCTGACCGGTCCGACGAGGGCCGGTTTTGAACCGCGGATGGGGGCCCGCGCGGTGGGTGGCAGAGTTTGGGGAGCTTGTTTGGGGTTCCGAAATGGAAGCACGACTGAACCAGAGGTCATCTAGTTGGACTTGGGCACTGCGATGTAGCATGTTGGTCTTTTCCAACTAGAGGTCCCCAACCAAGCAGTTGCTCATTCTCCTCGCGTCTTCCACTCGGAGAGACGTTCGGCCAGGTCGAGAAGCTCCGTGTGTTGTCTCCCGGCTTTGCGGAGCTGGAGCGCAACACGGAAGGACAGGGCGGAGGGGCTGCGGTGGGGGGGCCCGTGACGGGGCCGTGACGATCGGCGCTGGGCTCCGCGTAGGGCGTAACGTGGCGGCCGAGTGGTGGTTGGGGTGAGAAGATAGGGTTTGAGGCTGGGGCCTCGTGGAATTGAGGCTGATCTGTCAAAAGGATGTGAAGATTCACCACGGGAGATCTTGTCCTGTGATTTGAAGAGTCGGGATGACAGTTTGCCTCTCTGCGCAGCTTCTCGAAGCAATTGGAACTGCTGGACGAAACCGATTTCGAGGGATGCCGATACCTTCGCTTCCGATACCTTCCGACTCGTCGATGGAGAAGTTGTCAACAGGTCTTCCCCATTCGTGCCCGATGGTGAGGGCAGTGAAGAAGTCGAAAGAGAGCAGTAGCATAACTGGTTGGAGGAGAAATGTGATTTGGGTATTTGGGATTCTAATTTGCTTCGGGCTTCGGCTTGCCGGAAAATAGGATGCCCCAAATCCTGCGGAATCCTGCATCTGCATTCTGACCTCGAACCCTAACATACCCTAAAGACAATGATTTCTAGATTTTTGATAAGAACCCCTTGGGTAACCTCAAGGGATTCTAGATAAGACCATGATTCTCTCTGGATTCTAGATCAGTGAATCCCGTTTCCTGGGACGACACCCAGTACCCACACGAGATCTTGCTCCGACATGAGAACTGGCGGACATCGGAACCCATGGGGCGCCTTTTCGAGGCTTACCCTGGCGGTCCCGAGCGCCGGAGGCTGAGCGACGTTTGCGTCACGGCACTGCCGTGACCCGGAAAGGGTGAACAGACGATTGCCTTGCGCGGTTCGGCGTTCGCTTCGCGCCCCGTTCGCGGTCCGTTTGCTCTCGAGCATGTCTTGAACTCCAGTGAGAAAAGCAAAGGCCGGGGGGCTGGCCTGAAAGCATGAGAAAGTAGCTGGTTGGAGGTGCGATCGTAAGGAGTAACCAGACTGTACGGGCCAATAATAGATTGAACCAAGGTGTCCCTGTATATCCTATGGAAACTATGTATTTGCTTGAATTGAACAGACTTGAACCTCGTGAATCAATTCAGGGTTCCCAGTGCTGAAGAGCAACACCCGCCTGATGGTGAGGAGCTGCAGATTTTTGGGTTGACTTTATGGCATGAGAGCAGACATTAAACATATACAGTACTGGAAGCTTTCAGGAAAGCGGTTGGCCAGAATGCTTCTTCAGGATGAGCCAGATGTTGTAGTGGTAAAGTGGTAAGGTGATCTTGGAGCATATGCTTCCTGCCTGCCGTTGGCCCAACAAGCTCCCTGGTGACCAGCCAAAAGGGGATGCAGATTGAACAAAAATAAGAAGATATCGAATCAATCTTCACCCATCTTCCAACGGATTTAAAGTTGCTTCTCGGACGGGGCGGCAATCCAGACGCATTGCCAGCCATGCTAGTCTCCAGGTGCACCTCGGGGCACCAAAAACGGGCGTCTGTTCAACTGCCGCAATTTTCCAAAGTTATTTTTTCACGACATGATGTTGAAGTTGGCACCCAGACTTGATGTAGGGATGCCAAGTCCGCTTCAGTGTACAGTAGCTGTGAAAAAAGACCGTGATCGAAGAGCATTCTTTCCTGAAGATGGAATGTGCCGAGATGTGGGTCGCGTTGCTCGTAGGTTGGAGGCCATTGGCTCTTTTCTTCCGTCCCGACCGCCTTGCCAGGAGCCTTTTGAAGCAGCACCTTGGTGTCGACGGCCGTCCCATCGTTGGACCGAGTTCGGCGCATGGTCACGGTCCTTGGGGATGAAGAAGACTGCGACAGAAAGAAGTCGTGGACTCCGGGGATGGTGTGGAGGGCAACAGCCCCACAGATTTTTGGGGAGGGGCTAAAAACCTGCGACCTCAGACTCCTCCTTTGCAACTTGCAGCTGGGTGGATGTGTGGGTGGATGTAGTTCTGCAGCTGGTGCGGCCTGGGGGATGCAAAAGGAAGCCATGAAGCCTGGTTTCTCTTGAGAACGTAGATCGCACCGGGATTGAAGGATGGAGCCCAGGACCAAGAACGAGAACTTCAACAGTTCTAGGACCTCTCCAGGACCTCAGGACGACCCATGTTCTCCTTGCCTTCCAGCACCTTCAGGTCCAGGTCCCTCTCCAAGTGACCAGGTGACCAGGTGACCAGGCCCTCTCTCTCCGCACCTTCAGGCAAGGTGGTTGCGGTGAGTCCAAGCCCTCAGCACCTTCGAAACCCTCCGGCAGGGCCTTCCGGCGTGCCTTGACCGCGAACCGGGACGAAGACGGCGGGTTGAAGGACGGGAAGCCGTGGCTGGTTGGTGTTCCCAGGCGGTCGAAGATGCGACCGGTGGTCTGAGCACTGAGACCAAACAAGGCTTGGGGATCTTGGGCTCAGCTTCTCTTCAACTTTCATGAGCCGGGAATTGTGAAGTGAAAGGGACATGTGGACAGCGTTGTAGTATCTACACGCAGATCAACCGCTCCATGGCCGTTTCACACATGGGGAGATGACCGTGATATTTGACTTGATCATTTGTGTTCCATGTTCTACGGTGCAAGGACCACAACTGGAAAGTTACAAGCTGAAGAGAGATCTCAAAAGAACCTCCAATAAGTTTGACTCCTCTCTCCACAGCCGAGCAAAAAGATGGGGGGGGTTCGGTGGGTGCTCGTGGCCCCGTTCGCTTGAACGCGCTAATGTATCATCGTATTATATCATCCATTCCCGACGACCTGGGTTCTTGGTTTCGCTCCAAACCTCTCCGCAGCTCGAGGTTCCTTGTTTTGTGCTCCACATTTGGTGGGACACTCCCACCAACCCGGTTTCTGGATGCCTCCACCCGGTTTCCCTCACCCTCCCTGTGTTCTCTCTGTGCGTGTCTCGAGACACGCCCCCGAGGCAAGATGCTGTGCACCACCATCCATCGAATCAGCGAGTCGCCCACGCCGGCCTCTGGTTCGCTCGGACCCGGGGAAAGGGACGGGTGTGCAGAACAGGGGGGAGGTGTAGACCTTTGCAGACCCCTAAGTGTGGGCATCGAAAAGACAGTTTCCATGATATTCTTGAGAGTGAAGGTGAAATGAACAATCATGAAGAGTTCCCTCAGCCAAGAGAAGGAAGGTTACGTTTGTTTTTTCTCGGTTGTCTCAGTTTCCTTGTATGTTTTCGGAAGTTGAGCTTTTGCTGGAGGGAGCGGATCGGAAAGGCATAGCTGGCACAGTAGTTGGACATAGAGTGACCGCTTTTGAGATGAAGGGCCACATGAAATAGTTGCACAGTTGACCAGTCCATTGTTTGACAGTACCCAGCGAGCCTAGAACCCGTAAAAATGTAGGTTCTATTTCAAGAACCTCGTTATTGCGGGCACTTGTCTGAAGAACCTGGTTTTGGATGATCCAAGAAACCGCGGGGACCAAAGCGCAAAGCGCTGCCCTTTTTGATTGGTCCCAGCGCTTCAGACGTCAAAAAAGGCGGCGTTTGCTGACTTTGGATCTGGATGCATGAAGTTCAGGTTAAGAGCTGGTGTGAATATCTAGTGACTAGTGCTAGCTTGGCAGATTGTGTGTGTAAATTGATAGGTGCTTTAACTTTCGAGCCTCAAAGTGCCAGCCTCATTGGTGCTTTTCGCCACCTGCACCCGGTGCACCACACCCCAGCCCCTCACACAGTGGTTTCCCCAACGGCATGTCGTCTTCGTCGACCGGAGCGCGCCGTCTTCGCACGCCGACGGCAAAAAGACGGCGCGCAGGATCGTGCTTCCAGGGCTTAGATTTCCTCTTCGGGCGTCAGTCTGCCAAGACCATTGGCACCTTTGGCTGCACGGAGATATCCCTGGAAAGGGCGCGGCACGGACGGGCACGAGCCAGGGTCTACGGGGTCAACAGGGTCTGCGATGCGGCCCACATGATGATGGTGATGGTGCCTGGTAGCACAACCTTCATATCGAATCCAGCTCGATTGGTTGATGGCAAGAAGGTTCGATGGAGAAGTTGCCTTGCGGCCATATCACCAAGGGAAGGAGTAGCAGTCATCATCCATGGCTGTTTCGGGTTTCAACCCATTTTTCACGGGTTTTTTGGGGTCGCGAAGGTGTCACCGCGTCATACTGCTCCACCTCGTCCTCGTCCTCCGCCCCCTAGGCGACCGAGAGTCGATCGAGTGCGAGAAGGCGGTGCCCACGAAGATCGACACACCCCTCACGGATTCGGTGCCTCGGGCGAGACGAGATGGCGTGGGTTTTTTTGGGAGGTGAAAACGCACCGGGCACCGCGCACCCGACCGGTGGACCACAGAACATGAACGGAACGCCTGGCTAGCTCCGGGTGAAACAGGCTCCGGGTGCCACAACCCGCAGCCAGATGAGATGGGAGTCGGAGGAGGTGTTGGATGCGTTGTCCGGACTGGTGGGAGATGGAAACCAACGAGGGACGACGCCGCGAAGAGTGGCCCTCCAACCCTTCCTGAAGATTTTATATGTATACTGTATACACAAACAGTCTTGCACCAGCGAGGTAAGAAGAACACGCTTTGAAGTAGCACTCCCAGCGTCTGGTGGATTTGAACTTCCAATCATGTTTGCTTTTGAGCAGTACCACGGAAGTAGGCGCACGACATGAGAAGCTTCTGGCTCTGGCTCTGAAGCAGAAAGTATCGCCTTGGCCCGTGGTGGCTGTGGATGAGTTCACCATCCCCAACTTTCAAGTTCCTTCTAATCCTGGGGGCACAGCGGCCCGCTGGGAGCGGGTTTCTGCCAAGGATAGTGAGACGCTGAGCACCACGACGCGCGGCACCTCTTGCTTCAGCTGCACTGATTGCGAATCTCTGTCTGCGTAGGCACTAAATGTGAGGGGTGAGCTCAGCTCCTGAGGGTCCGGCCCACTCGGTGGTCAAGGTTGAGGATCAGAGTAGTAGTTGCAGGAACCTCCTTTTTTCGAGGAACCACTGGAGTGTGTTGTGTTCTTTTTGTGAGTCTTTACTGGCCGGGCAGAGATTTTGACGCCTGGAAGGGAGCTTGCCTAGACAAGCTCCTGTTTTCCAGACATTCTAGCCTGACGCCACCGCTTTGAGTGGTTGAATCATGCCAGCACTTTCTTGCTTCAGCGAAGCAAATTGTGGAACAACCAGGATGATTGATGGGAAAGCTGCGAGTTTTTAGGATAGTTTTCGGATTCCACACAAACTGGAGTGATATGACTCAGTGACAGTGACCCTCCAGTCAGGAAAGACCTAGAGACTGAAGATGGGAAAGAAATCCTGCTATTCAACACTTCTGAAAGACAGGAGTTCGGACTGTCAAACGTTCTGATTTGCTAAGCAGATGTTGTTCATTCCTCCTTCGCCACCAGGCATTAGATGGAGTTCACAGAAAACCACCCACAAAGACAGCATCGCCCTTTGCTACTACTAGTAGCTTCTTGCTCCTAGTAGCGATGCCCTTTGCTACTAGTAGCTTCTTGCTCCTACTAGCGATG